CAGGAGCTAATGTGCGCTAATAGAAGCTAGCAGGAGCTAAAAGGAGCCGACAGATCCTAACTGGGCCGACTGGAGTGGATAGAAGCTAGCAGGAGCTAACGTGGGCTATTAGACGCTAGCAGGAGCTAATGTGAGGAAATAAAAGCTAGCAGGAGCTCAACAGAGCTGATAGATCCTAACCGGGCCGACTGGAGTGGACAGAAGTTGGCAGGAGCAAATGTGAGCTATTGGAAGCTAGCAGGCGCTAATAGAAGCTAACATGCGCTACTGGGGGCTATTAGAAGCTAGCAGGAGCTCGTGTGAGCTATTAGAAGCTAGCAGCAGCTCATGTGAGCTAATTGAAGCTAGCAGGAGCTAAAAGGAGCCGACTGATCCTAACTGGGCCAACTGAAGTGGACAGAAGCTAGCAGGAGCTAACAGAAGGTAACAGGAGCTGACAGATCCTAACTGGGCCGACTGGAGTGGACAGAAGCTAGCAGGAGCTAACGTGGGTTATTAGAAGCTAGCAGGAGCTGATTTGGGCTCATAAAAGCTAGCAGGAGCTAAACAGAGCCGACAGATCCTAACTGGGCAAACTGGATTGGACAGAAGCTAGCAGGAGCCAATGTGGGCTAATAAAAGCTAGCAGGAGCTAAACAGAGCTAACAGATCCTAGCTGGGCCGACTGGTGTGGACAGAAGCTAGCAGGAGCTAATGTGAGGAAATAAAAGCTAGCAGGAGCTCAACAGAGCTGACAGATCCTAACCGGGCCGACTGGAGTGGACAGAAGTTGGCAGGAGCAAATGTGAGCTATTGGAAGCTAGCAGGCGCTAATAGAAGCTAACATACGCTAATGGGGGCTATTAGAAGCTAGCAGGAGCTCATGTGAGCTAATTGAAGCTAGCAGGAGCTAAAAGGAGCCGACTGATCCTAACTGGGCCGACTGGAGTGGACAGAAGCTAGCAGGAGCTAACGTGGGCTATTAGAAGCTAGCAGGAGCTAATGTGAGCTAATAGAAGCTAGGAGGAGCTAATGTGAGCTAATAAAAGCTAGCAGGAGCTAAACAGAGCGGACAGATCCTAACTGGGCCAACTGGAGTGGATAGAAGCTGACAGGAGCTGATGTGAGCTATTAGGAGCTAGCAGGATGTAATATGAGCAAACAGGAGCTAATGCGGGCTATTAGAAGTTAGCAGGAGNTTGTGTCCATGTTGTGTCTCTTTGTGTCCATGTTGTGTCTCTTTGTGGTGGTCTTGTCACCTGTCTGTGTCACAGAAGATGTTTTCGGGCAGCAGCTGTGGGGCGTCTCTCCGTCGACTGTCTATAACCTGCAGATTCACAACAAACACACTCAGCGATCCATCGATTGATCAGATATTCAGCGTTAGTGGGACTCTGGTGCGGCGATCTGATTGGTCGTGAGTTCGAGCCAATCAGCCGTGCGTGACTGTTGGCAGGTGTTTCCCTGGACACTCACCTGAGCAACATGTTGCTGCAGCGGCGGCGGCGGCCCGAGCTGTGACATCACATGGAGGGCGGCGCCGCAGACGGCGTGAATGCCACAGCGGTTCGACGGCGTCAGAGGCTCCTGATTGGACGAGGCCAGGTCCTGAGCAGCAGACGGAGCGTTCAGCGCTTAGAAACCAGTTGTGTGGTTTTATTTTAGTGGTGGTGTCCTACCTGCAGAGCCAGAACCAGCCGGATCAGGTCCACCAGCACCTCCTCATTGGCCAGTTCCACAGTGAGAACAGCCAATAGGACGAAGAGCTGCTGGTAGTGGCTGCGACCGCTGCTCTCCTCCTTACAGGCCAAGAACACGTGTCTGTAGAGGCGCTGGGCGTGCTGCAAAGCATGGGTCGGGTTAGGCAGCACGGGCAACCTCAGAACCTGCTCAACATCTACAATGACTCCACCAATCACCAGAGAGACTGAGAGGAACATCCAACCAACTGAATCAGTGAATAAATGCAGCTCGGATCAGAACCAGAGACCAGAGGAGCCAGTTGGTGAAGATCCATTCAGCTGATGGTGGAACATCTTTCTACTGATGATGAGCAGAGAGGAACAGTCTGGAGACGTGGTGAACGCTCACCGTCTGTATAATCAGCTAAATATTTAACACATGGAGACAAAACCAGACACAAAACAACAAACCATCTGGTTGCACAGTTTCCGGCTGATGACCTTTTGGTGATTTTCTTAACAACAAACTCGTTAAACGTGACGCCATGTTGTGCTCACCTTCCTCATGAACAGGTTGTCCTGTCGAGAACTTCTGTCCTCCTTCAGCTCCAACGAGGAAACGTCGAACGCAGCACTGTGGACACACATTCATTTAAACTCTGTCACAGACTAAACTCACCGCGCAGTGACGCGTGTCGGCCACCAGGTGGAGTCGGTTTATTTCTGACCTGGCAGTGATGGCGCTGAGCCTGGCGGCGTTGTGGCGCCGGTCAATGAGCGATGTGAGGATGGACAGAACCAGCAGCCGGATCTCCGGGTCCTCCATCAGGGTGAAGGACAGCAGAGGCTCCAGGAAGGACGAAGGCAGCGCCGTCAGCAGGTTGCTGCTTTCATACCGCTCCGACACCTGAGGGGGGGAGGGGCCAAACAGGAGCTGAGAGGAGCCAACAGAAGCTAACAGAAGCTAACAAGAACTAACAAGAGCTTCCTGTAGTGGAGAACTCACCTGGAGGAGGGACTTGAGCAGCATCACCTGGATCATCCTGCTGCCTTCGAACCCGGCGTTGGGCGACCCCAGGGCGGGGTAGATACCGGGGACGGGGATCTTCCCCATGATGAACAGCATGACCTCGGACCGCTGGTAGACAGGAAGTGTGTTGGCGAAGGATCCTGCAGCGACGCAAGTCACAGAACCAACAACGGCTCACATCAGAATTAGCTTTGAATGACATTAAATGACAAACAACCGTGAAGTCGACCGACCGATGGTTTTGATGACGGCGTCCTGCAGCGTTTTCTCTTCGCTAGAGGTGGTTTTGCGCTTCCCGGCGTTGTCATAGTAACCAGTCAGCTGGTAGTCGACGCTTTGCCGCAGCTGCCGCAGCAACGTGTTGAACACTTCCAGCACTGTGGGACCTGCAGGGGGCGCAAAACATGGCGTCACACCTCACATACATGCACGTACAGCTGCAGGTGTGGCGGCGGCAGGCTGACCTACGGATCCAGTAGCTTCGATAACAGCAGCCTCAGACAGAACCTCCACAATTCCCGCCCGGACGGAAGCCGGACTCCTGCTGTTGGCATCCAGGTGACCCAGAAGCTGCTGGATGACCAGGTGAGAGTGCTGCGACTGGACACAGGCTCAGGTCAGTTACAGCAGCAGAGTGAAGCAAAGACACAGACAGTTCACCAGGAGCTAATGTGAGCTAATTGAAGCTAGCACGAGCTAATATGAGCTACCAGGAGCTAAAAGAAGCCGACAGGTCCTAACTGGGCCGACTGGAGTGGACAGGAGCTAACGTGGGCTATTAGAAGCTAGCAGGAGCTGATATGGGCTCATAAAAGCTAGCAGGAGCTAAACAGAGCGGACAGATCCTAACTGGGCTAACTGGATTGGACGGAAGCTAGCAGGAGCTAATGTGGGCTAAAAAAAAGCTAGCAGGAGCTAAACAGAGCCAACAGATCCTAACTGGGCCAACTGGAGTGGACAGAAGCTAACAGGAGCTAATGTGAGCTATTGGAAGCTAGCAGGAGCTAAAAAGAGCCGACAGATCCTAACTGGGCCGACTGGAGTGGACGAAGCTAGCAGGAGCTAAAAGGAGCCGACAGATCCTAACTAGGCCAATTGGAGTGGACAGAAGCTAACAGGAGCTAATGTG